CTCCAAGGTTTGTAACATGGATGGGAACATCACGCTAGCAGGTTGTCACCAAACTGGTACGTAGTAAACATGATGCTTCTGATAATCACGAAAGAAGTACATTATTGCGACTGACACACTGGGCTGTACCCGCGGCTAACGAGTTATAAATAGGAGATTGTCCGTACGAAAGTAGTATTATCCCAACGTAGAACACAATAGAAAGGAAGTCGATCGAAGCGGTTTGAGGGAGGAGGAAACACGGAATACCGTTGAATCAAGTGAATGTGCTCGGCCACACAGCGCGGATAAATGTAAATTCGCCAGCAAAAATAGCGAGCACATGATGTCCAACTGAACAGAGTGTGGCGCGACCCCAGATCAAGCAACTTGATCCGTTGTTGGATGTAGAAAGATGCTCTGCCCCGGTAGCCGACAGATGGCAAATTGGAAACCTTACTACCTCAACTGTATTAAACTTTTTATGATGCTATATATATGCACTTATGCATTTGACAATATACAAAGATGTTTGTCCGAATACAAAGAGTTTACATATTTCTGCGTTAATGCTCCTGCTGAACATTTGGTTGGAAGAGAGTTGCTTCAATCCATCACTGCCTGGGGAACTTTGGAAGTTGATCAGATCAGCGGTGTGTGAATGTTTCATGTTGACGACAGTTGCTGGGAACAAAGACCGGACAACAAATGTAGATCACACGAGTGCACAATGCGACGTAATGCTAATGGAAACCTGTCGAATTCACAAATAACCACGAGCACATTCGTGCCGATTTGATCACAAGGCAGTGTGATCCATAGGTTTCAGGATGTTTGGAAAAATGGATAGGTTTTTCAACAGGACAACGCACCGGTCCATAACATTTCGTTGGTGAAGCTGTTCTTAGTTAAGGAAAACATCCCTGCAGTTAAGTATCGCACCTTTTTCAGGTTTCGCTCCCTGCGGCTCTTATCTCTTAGCAACGATCAATCCGGTGCTCATATGAACATACAAGCTGTCGGTAGATGTGAAAGCAGAGACGTCGGAGAGCACAGACAGCCGTAAAGAACATGATGTGCGGATTTTCTTGGTAGGTTGGCAGAATTGTTTGCAGCTGTGTGGCAACTCACTGGGGATCGGCTTTGTAGGCGATCAACGTTGGTATTTTATAATCTGTTAGGCAGAAAGAGCTTCAAGTAAAGTCCCGTTTCTTCAGTCTGATAGTGTATGACGGCAATGTGTGCCATTGTCCGGTACATAAGCGTAGCATCAATGAACAAAATGCCACAGTATTGTACAACTCCCGATTGATAAATACTTGGTGAAAGGGCATCCAAAACCAACCTGATTCCAATCGTCAAGGCAACACGAACATCTCCTGTGAGGTTTGTTGAATAAACTCAAAAGCAACATGATGTCAAGGGACCACGATACGAGGATGCCGATTTGCGAACTCGTGAGTGTCCAATTCGGGGAGCACAGCCCCATACCATGAGAAACAGCAGCGGAGGCCGGACTTTTACACAAACTGGCAAACATGAGGAGTATGCTCTGAGGAAATAGATAGATTGATGTGGTGTTGCAAATCTGGGGCAAACCTTCGGGTAACATAAACACAGAACACGACCACCCGATGAGCGTCTCCGAAGTTGATTCGCTGAGAAGCGCATGGCCCTTGAAGACATTCCCAGGTAAACTGGAGACCTCAACCCTGCAACTGAATCACGTCTGAAATATGGATTATCTCAGGTTAACCTCAGTGTCATAATGGAAAATAAGGTAGACAATGGATGAGTGAGTGTACTGACCGAAACGAAGCAGCCAGTCATGCGAGAAGCAAATGATCGTTTTAAAAGTCCATGAGTAGCTAACAAATGAAGATTGTTCAAAGCAGCTAGCATGCAGTCACTCTGAACACAATAGATGAGGCTAGCGTAACTGTTAGATAGTACACAAATAGACCATTTAAACAGTTAGTTGATAAACAAACTACACATGCTGCCGTGATTTTCACCCGGATCTGTCTGAAGCTCAGTCACTTTTAAATTAGAGCCAGAGAGTTTTCGATGTCTTCGATGACACCGTATCAATACGAAAATACACATCATAAAAACGTGTGAAAAGTCTGGCGATTTCAGCGTATTGCAGTAATAAACTACAAGAGCTGTCAACACTTGCGAACCCTGGTAGCACAATCGTACCAGTAAACGTAGCAAACTGGACTGATATATATATATATATATATTTGCAAAAGTCTACGAATAGACATAATGCCATCAGAAACCATGGGATTCAAACGAAGGTACAGAAACAGTAAAATAAAACACAACACAACAATGTCCATGGGTTCCTCAGAAGGCGAGATACTACCCGGTTGCCCAAGCCGAAGTAGGGTGTTGACTTAGGGGACACCACCCCGAGCATTTGGCTGAATAGCCTGCCCGCAAGGCAGCGGAGCGAATTCAGGGAATCGCGCCCATTGGGAGCCGGTGACTGATTGCTCAGTTCATACGCCTTTCGTTTGTTCCTTTGTCAAACAGGGGCCCAATGCTCCTCAGAAGTACAGCATGACATTGCTGGAATACAATGCTTCGCCAGAATGAAGAAAGGGGCAGTGACTTTATTTAGTGGCGAGTCACGTCCGCCACGTCACAGTGTTGTTAAACGGACATATGTGGCTTTTTATAGGGAGAACGCTTGCCAGGCGAAAACCCACCACGTCCTGGAACACTGCCGCCGAACCATTTGCTGGAACGGGAAAACCCCGAACCACCCAGCTGGCACCACGAGGAGGTTGTTCGGCAAGCCTGAAACTGGACAGATGTCCAGTTCAGGTATTACCGCATTAGTTGCAGCAAAATGCATTCAGTTTGACATTTGTTAATAAATAAATGGTTGATATGCATTATAAGTGATATAATTTGACCATGACTCCGTTAATATAAATGCATCGGTAGGTCCTTTTATTTGCCCAGTTTCGGTTTTGTAACCTTGGTCGCTGATACCGCTTGGTTTTGCGTTATTGTGTAGCTCCATTGCAACTGAGTTTCCTCAGGCACACCTATCAGTTTATCCGATTGTAGCTTGCTTGATACGTATGTATACATTTTCAGCATGCCGCGTCGAAAACGTTATCAATTAACTGCACAGTTTCCGTCTCGTATCACCATTTACCGTGCAGCAAAAGTATGCCATCAGGATTTAGCTACGAAGCAGTGCTTCTGTTGTCTGCAGCTAAACGACAGAATGGTAAGAGGATTAATAACATATAAAATATGATTGCTTACAAAATTAAGCCATCTGATGACGTTACCAATTGTTGTGAAGATGACAGGGACCCAGAGGAATTGGTCCATAACTTGCGAAAACTGATTGCAAAATCTCAGGTACCAGCGCCTTTTGTGTGTCCACTGTTCGGGCTTGTGCAACCCTGGATGCCATTTTTGCCAAAAGATTACCGGACGTTGATGCGAACCCCACGGAACTCCCGCATACGAGTTGTTGCACCGGTCACTTACGGTCACGTAGTTCTGTCGAGAGGTTTACAGCGTGCATGCTCTGCTCTTTCGCTCGCGGCTGATGACACTGTGGACTAGCAGTTGCATATTGACGGATTTAAACCTTTTAATGCTTCCAAGATGCACAAATAGCCGACCTTGTGCCGTATCATAAGGCCAGTGGCCACAAAGCCATTCGTTTTTGGCGTTTATGGTGGGACCTCAAAACCTAATGACGTGGACGATTATTTGTACGACACAATTTCTGAGATCCGTTCTTTGCAAAGCGAAGGATTATTCAACCTGAAAGCGGTTATCTGTGATACTCCTGCACGCGCTTATGTGAAACGTAAGAAAAAACACTCAGGTTATTGCGGCTGTGACAAATGCACCTAACGTGGTGATTATATCAGCCGCAAAGTGACATACTCACTTACGGATATCACACTGCAGGCCAATGCGTCCGTTCGAAAGAATGTCAGCCAACCGTCGCCTTTCGCTGCTTTGAATGTAGATTTGGTTGAAGACTTTCCAATCGACCGTATGCATTCAGTATGTTTGCGTGTAATGCGCAGGTTGATAAAAAACTGGCTCACTTCGCCCGTGGACAGTGGATTCCGACTTCGCAGGGAGCGATTGCTTTTAGAAGACGAAAGGTTGCATGACTTCGGAGCTTCTTGGACAACAGCTTTTCCACGTAAGCTTTGATCACTGGATGAATACCGATCTTGGAAGGCAACTGAGTTGCGTCCGTTTTTACTATAAGCCGGACCAGCGTGTTTAATCGGGGTATTGCCTGAGGCTTTCTATCATAACTTTCTAGATCTCTCATTTACTATTTATATTATGTGCCACCCTCACCTTCACACTGCCTTAGTGGATTTCCTTATCCCTTTAATTCATATTTTTTACATGATTACTTTGATCTTTATCTTCCCAGTGAGATGACGTGGAACGCGCACTCACTGGTTCATCTACCCGCGAAGATGGTTACTTTAGACAGCTTCTCAGCATTTCCCTTTGAGTCTCACTTGTTTTCCATCAGGCGCATGATTCACAATTCCCCGCGTCCGTTTGCTCAAATCATGCGGCCTACGTCGGAAGAGGAACAGCTTCCTCCTACTTTCAGCAACACAAGCACGGGTGGGAATGTAGAGATGTGTATATATATAAGGGTTAAAAAGCGTTTCGTTTGCACCGAATTTTGTTTTCCACAGTGAGGCCGGATAATGTGGTCATGATCGATGGCAAACCGAGAGTGCTCACAGATGTGTCCGTGAATGTGTCTGGGAACATGTTCATGCGATGCAGGAAATTTATGAATCCACGTAGTCTGTTCACACATAGCATGGATTCCTCAACGGCATACATCTTCCGTGCATCGCAATTGTCAACAGATTTATGTAGTTTTTCCGCCTGTCATATTCTGTTCAAGTGCATCGCTTTTCCCTTGAATAATTTCCCTGTAATTTACCCTATGCCACAGAATTATACACTCTAACTATTAACGTCTTTCTTTTTCAGCACTGATGGTTTTCAAGGATACAGCTTTGTCAAACTACTTGACTCTGACTATTTATTAACTATTATCAGTAATCCCTGGCTTAGAGAAGCAGGTGTGTACGCCCAAATATCTTTCGTGCTCGGTACGCACTACTATGCAGCGGTGAGAAATAACACAGCACCCGATGTCGATGTAGCCAACACTGCGATGTCCATCATCGTTAGCACGAGTAAGTCCTTTTGTTATATTAACGCACCTCTTAAGTTAGCTTCCAGCGTGCCCGAAAAATGGAACGTCAATCAGAGCAAGGCATGCTGACATCCACAGACGATACTATTCCGATGGGCCTTCCAGCTAAGCGTCCACTGTGAGTATGGTGTTTTTTAAATTTCCCGTTAGACGACGGCCCGTCCGTTCTAGCTCCGATGAGGAAGACGCCGCGCGTCCCAACAAACCCCATAGGCCTTCTGCAGCAACCTACGCACGTGCGCCCACTTCTCTCTTCAGAGGCATTAGTCCACCACGTCCAGGGCCATCAACAAGCAACCGTAAGTATCGTGTTCATACTGCCTCTATTAACCAGTAAGCGCGCCCGCTGTTATCGCTGATGTTGCACCATGCAATCTGGAGGTGCTGCAGGAATTGAAGGCCATTAAATGCAAGGCAACACAGAGGCATTGCATTGCACTCAGCTTTATGTTTAGATGAGTTATGCCCCATTCGATCAGAATTTGTCGGCCATCGCTGCATGTTTGAAGCGATGTTTCAGATGCTGCAGCGACAGCCCCAAAGTCTTGCACCGAGACTTTGTTTGCCATTTATCTCTCTCAGTGAGCTTAGGAGATATGATGAATGGCTGAAGGACCCAGGTTTCAAAAACAGAGTCGTAAGTTTACTTTATTATTAAAACACTTTCAGGTCAACCATTTGTGTGCTGTGCACGGTGATAACGTGCAAATCGTCATCCGGGGTACCATGGGGCGGCTAACGATAAGATCAGCTGCCGTGGAGATAAATTACTCCCGCGCAGGAGGTTTGTTTGCATTCAGGCGAATGAATAGGAACGGCCTTGTACAAGGTAGGTTGACATACAGTAATCCATAAAAACTACAAAGTCATCACTCGGCGACGCATGGGTGATGCAGCCTCGGACGCTGACTTTAAACGCCACATCAAAACGTGGTTGCATTCTGCATGGCACAAGAGACCGCCTGTTGAGTAAAGTAAAGTATGCAATGCGAATGAGGTGAGTCCCCTGCTTCCTTATGACCATCTATAGCCTCGTACCTGGAGAATCGCGGAAGCGGTTTAACCATCTTGACAATGCTGCTGTCCGCTACTGACGATTTTGTACTACACACTATGTACGTAACGCATTCTTATACCGAAGTTTTCATTTTCTTTCGCCTTGTGATGTTCTCAGGTGCGCAGGAAGATCCATTTCCTTTTCTGACCAACAGCTTGAAGCGCCGCCTAGGTGGGTTCCCACGTCCAGCAACTACGGCAACAGGTACTGGGTGAACCTTAGGTCGGAACCGTCCATACATTCGCTAGGTGCTAAGTTTGTAGTAGTGTGATGTCCGTATTTGGATACCCATGGTAGGCAATGACGGTATCTGGACCTACCGGTTTGTCAAGCATAGTGGTGAAATTCTATTGGTCAACGCTAGCACCATTCTCATTGGTCCGCCGTAAACTGGACAAAATCCCTTTTCAGCGGTCTCACGGTACTAGTTCCTGTCCAGTTTAGCCTAATTCTATCATAGGAACGTTTAGGAGGCTAAACTGGACATGTGCTACCAGGGAAAAGGGAGATTACAGAACGGACATAACTACCCATAAAGTCGCCCATGAATGTGAATGCTATGGCTCAAGAATGAAAAAAGGCAGTCCCCTGCAAGCACCGTTGCGGCTTGCACAACGTATACTGTAATTTGGTCATTTAATGGTCAAAACTACGATTTCCATAGTTTAAACCGGATTAAATGCGAAGCCCACAAAAACAGCACATATGTATGTTATTTACATTCGGGACTGGGTAATCGCACTTGGAGATTAAAAAGCACAACATAGTTATGAAGGCGGCTGCGAGACAAGCGAGTTAAAATTTCTAACAATACATAGGATGTCATTGTAAAACTGCACATTGATGCAGTAAGCGCTTCCTGATCTTGCCTATCCCTTTGGGTTTGATTGGTCGGCGGCGGCGCACGCATAGCCCGATGTGTATCGATTGTGTGTGTGACATCACGTGACTGCACATGAACCGATATCACCTTCATTCTCTCGTACACGTTTTGTTTACAAGGTAATGAACACTATATAGATTACGCATAACGTTTATAATGGTTGGTGCTCTGCCAGCTAAGAAAAAATGAACGGAAAACAAAGAACGGCGATCGTTTCGAGACAATAGGAATTACGGTACTTTTCAGTGATGAATGGAAAGAAACGTTGAGGAATTTGCGACAATAATATGGCATGTTAAAGGAGTACAAGATGAAAACATTAGGGAACATAGCATCGATTTTATGATAAGAATGGTGGCGCAATTCGTGTCCCAAAATGAAAGGTATTAAAGGGCAACTTGAATTGTCAACAGATTTGTGCTGCAAAATCTCATAAAGGGCAAGCGGCATCACTTGCTGAAAGCTAGGTGCTTTATAATATCCAACAGTACCTTCTTCGTCTGTACTGTACAACACAAACTTATACACAGACCGTAGTGATCCCTTCAACAAGCAATTTGCTGTAGCAATTGCGCTTCCGCCCTACGCCACAGGTATTTCGTCGCACATGGAAATAAAAATTTCCCTACCTACATACATTTATATAGGCTAATTCGAAGATTAGTCTTGCCAAAAAATTCTTAGTTAATTGAAAATACTTATATGCGCCGCCCGGCATTAGGGCTAATCGAGAACAGCAAGGTCCCGATTCGCCTTCGAGCAATCCATGCTCATAGGATCTTTCCACTGGAAGCATGAGATATCGTGGTGGGACGGATACGAAGGACAGAAACTCGTGGCAATCGACCACTACAATGGCCAGTGGCCCAAACAAACACTGTTATAACTTTTCGACAGCTATCCGCTGAAGGTAAACTGTAAAAGGCACAAGGTGGAATTCACTGCAGAACGGATCATCTTCACAGCTAACTGCGATCCTCTAATCTACTACGGAACCGAACAAAAAAAGCCCACGTCGTTTATTAAGAGGTTTAGATGTAATCAAAGTATAAACTTAATATTTTGATGTGTACAAAACGTCTTCTCATAATTACACTGCCAAGGCCGCACGTGGTAAACGGCGATTGCGAAACTGAAAGTAGACATAGCGCGCTCCGACCGAGGGACAATGGGCCTGAAATTCCTCAGTCATATTCAGGAATTGCATGAATAGTCCGCAGTGCAATAAACCCGTGTGTTAGTCCACGGGTTTCGCTTGGCGTTAGGTGTACCCCCATTGGTCCATAAAGTTTTGCGTGATAGCGAAATCTCGATATAGCACATATTCACGATAGGAACCCTTAAGACGGATGCATTCCGCATCTTTGCAATCCAGATATTCGCCGGAATGCCGCAATCCGGCAATACCCAACCGTGTACAAGCGCTATTCAACGGATTGAGTGAGAACGCTCCTGCGCGTATATCACACCGGAACCGAAGGTTGATACCCTTTATTCGGAATCGTTCGTACATAGACAACATAGCTTTCGCTTGAGGCAAGTAATCCAACTTGGGGGTAACCTCGAACATAATTGTAGTAAACAGGCGCCTCCGAATCCGAGTGATACGAGAACGGCGGTTATCCGCCGATTGACACCAGCTCTCATATTCTGTCACTATGCATCCGCGAAAAAGTAACAATTGCGAAAGTAGATGATCCAGATGCTTGATAATATCCAACAGCACTTCCTTCGTCTGTACTGTGCAACAAGTACCCTTACAGCGACCATAATGATCCCGCCAAGGTTGAAATTGTACTAGTAATTGCGCCTCTGCCTTTCACCACTTAGGGATTTCGTCGCACATCGAAGTGAGAAATTCCCTACCTACCTACACCTATATAGGCTAATACACAGATTAGACTTGACAAAAAATGCTTAGTTAATTTAAACTATTTATACATCGCTGACCGGCATTGGCACATCGGCACCCAGTTGTAATAGTATAAAGGGTGCCGATGGCTCATGTTAGGGTTACTATTAACCCCGTAACCTTAATATTATTATTTTTATAAAAAAAATTGAGGTTAGGGGTAGGGTTAGTGTTACCCCGACCCAACCCAAACCTCAGATTCAAATTTGTCCAGAGTCCAAAAGCGCCACATAGTCATCACAGTAAGTCACGTGACTCGTGTTATACACACGAATCCAACATGATTAGGTGGGCTTTTTACGTCCATGTCCTGAAATCAGTTCAAGTGCACCTGAGTGCATGCACCTATCAGAGGAGAGCGTCCTATCCGCCACTTGGAAATAACGTTCCTTCGGCAGTGTTATTCCGGTACACAGGGTTGCATGTGATGTGAGGTAAATTTGGGGCCATTGAACCCATAGTAATGTTTATTAATAATTGAGGATGCTTGCTGAAATCCTACGACCTCAGTTAGTAATCAATATACTAAGGGGTTTAAATGCGTTACGATGGTTAATCATTTTCCCGCCTCACGCGTAACAGCCATGGTGGATGACTCGTTTGTATTCCGACGGATTCTTAAGGGTCCTTATCTGGACTTCGCATCGGTGAAGAAGGATCTGAAAGTGTTTCAGATTGAAATGGCGACATCGTTTTTTCGTCGGAACGTTGTAACTGCGAAGGCGTACCGGAGGGAGACTGGACAGGTGCTACCAGAAGGATGCCCATACCGGTATATTTTGTTTGTGTGTGTGTAAACAGATTAACTGATTCCTCTGTCCAGACGAGCTATTAGTCTTCATTGGCACATGCACTCAGTTGCAATCCACCGCAAGAAGTGGTACAACACTGGACTTGTATACAGAAAGCGATGACCATTTCCGGACAGTCATGCTGCGGTCAAACTCGACGCCCATTGAAGGCTTGGATCTGCTCGTTCTCTGGAGCTGTTTAAACGCCGCAAAGATATACCCGCGGAATCAGATTGCAACGAGCGGCGCCGTTCTGCCAACCGGCTGCTCAAGAATAGCCTACGCAAGGATCGCGAGACATGGTGGTCTGAACGTGCTTTAGAGATGGAGACCGCTGCCCTCTCTGGCAACACTCGCAGGCTTTTCCAACTCATTCGGTCCACTGGCCTCAGGAAACTTGGTGTCAATGAGGTCATTTGTGAGGTGGATGAGTCTCCGATCACCAACCAACAGAGGCATATGTACCGTTGGGCCGAGCACTTTCACTCGCAGTTCAACTGGCCTCCACCATCCATCAGTACATGCAGTACACGTTGTTGTCCACCTTGGCTCGTCCCTCTGAATCCACCCAGCGAAGCGGAAGTCGGGCTTGAGATTTGACGCTTGAAGCGCTTCAAGGCTGCCGGCTTAGACGGACTTCCTCCGGAGCTATTCAAGTACGGCGGTGTGGCGATCATTAACCAGCTGACCGCGCTGTTCGCAAAAATTTGGCCTGAAGAGAAAGTGCTTTCCTCTTGGGGAGAATCAGTCATTATCCTGATTTTCAAGAAAGGCGCTCGCACGTCATGTGCAAATCATCGCGGGATTAGTCCTATTTCGGTTGCCTCTAAACTATTGGCATCCATTCTGCTTCGCAGGCTATCCCCAGTACGTGAATCATACTACCTTGAAGAACAAGCTGGTTTCCGTCCTGGCCGCGGATGCGTGGATCAAATATTCACGCTCCGCCAGCTCCTCGAACATCACCACATTTA